TTTGGGGGTGGGGGGTGGGGGGGTGGTATGTGAACAAGAAGTCATACTTATAGTAAACAAATTCATGCCTCTGTTTTAGATGAATTTACTTGAACAGTCTAAGTCTGCTAAAAAATTCAAGTTTCTTTTTTTTATTATTATTTATTCTTTTTCTTTCAAGGATTTGTTATGGAGATAAGACAAGTATACAAATACTAAGAGATAAATCTTAAAAAGGAGTACCAATAGTTGGTGGCAGGAGCATGTGATACACACCTTGGCCTCTTCGTAGGATAAATTTAAATTTGTAAATGAACTTATAATCAGCATAGGTTGTGCTATCAGCAAACACCTGATTTGATATATTGTATTCCTTCAATAGACCTTTTGAGCTTTAGGAAACTGAATTGAGTGTCAGTAACACTGCAGAGTGATGCTAGATTCTGGGCATAAATTAAAACTTCTGCACTCACTTACTTGATATTACTTCAATATGGTCATGTTATCAGGAGCTTAAGCAAGACAAATATTTCCCCCCTTCTTGTTAATAATTATGTGATAGAATGTGATTTTGATGATAATATAACTATACAAGTCCTGAGGTGAATTTCTGTCTCTCGTTTTCTTTTCCTATTAAACGCTGCCAGGTTTTTGACCTCTCATCGGTGAAGCCTCATGAATTTGTTCAATATGGATTGGCTTGCCTGGAGAATTTTGCTAGGCTTGGAGACACCTGTGCTAAAGAGACTCGTGAAAAACTAAGGGTTGTGGTAAGCATCATATTCTGGCCTAATACTTTCAAGCATTGGCATTCTTAAATTATACCATTTACCGTGCTATGTATTTCACTTGAATGGCAAAGATCGTGCTCATAATGTTTGTGCTCGTTTTCAATTTACAAATTAAGCTTTAAGCAATCTGGCCCTTGACAGGTTGCAGGAGGTGATGGTACTGTTGGGTGGGTCCTTGGGTGTCTAGGAGAACTTAACAAACAAGGACGACTTCCAGTTCCACCGGCTGCTATTATTCCTTTAGGTACAGGAAATGATCTGTCCCGGAGTTTTGGTTGGGTAAGGTTTCATCTACATCAACTTTTTATTTGCCTTGTTGCCCAGCCTGTTCTGAGCTGTGCCTTAAATGTCCTTCCAGGGTGGGTCTTTCCCATTTAACTGGAAATCATCCATAAAAAGAACTCTTGACAGAATAGGCAATGATCCTACTTGTTATCTGGACAGGTGAGGTCTTTAATTTGTACCTTTGAGCATATTTCGTGATTTATTATGTTGGGACCACTGATAATTCTTACTCCTATATATGTGGCCGTTGACAAGAAATTCAACCTTTCGGGGGCGGTTTTTTGAAGATGGTGCTACCAGAGATCTGGTTAATCAGAAAATTAAAATCTAGATTTTTGTCTTTGGAGATCTTGGAATCTTGTTACCTTCTAGTAGGAGGAGATGATGCAAAAAGTACAGTCTTTTGCAACTTTCTAGTTTAATTAATCAGATGACAGTGTTCTTTGAATAAAACTGATATTGGACTAAAAAAAGAATGCTCTATAATTTATGTTTTATATCGCATCTTCGACCATGGATGGTAAACAGATTGTTGGATACAGTACTTGCTCCAAATAGGTCTGTGTTGTAAGAAACTTTGGAGCTGCAAATAGCAGTTACATGATCCACCTAGTCCATTTTTGATAATGCGAAAGTGAGATATTTGATGTTTGAAAATGTGAAATTGGTTGGCGGAATTGAGATAGAATCTAATTGAATAAATTATTAGACAGCAAAACATGTGTCTATATCAAGCTACGAATGTTAGTTTCATGAACAATGCGAGGAGAATTTGAAGATTTTTATTATAGTGAAGTGAAAAGGATGTCTTATCAGTGAATAAGAATGGCTTATACATCAGTTCATAATTTTTCTTTTATATGTATACCCCTGTTATGGCAGATAAAATGCATTATACAGTACTGCTGTACCCAAATCTGCGGAGTAAAGATTGTTTTTATTTTTTTGGGTAGTTTCAAGAAATGTCGAATTTACTGTGAAAATGTATCATCAAATTAGTTCCGGTAACCTATTGTTTTTTCTTCTTTTAAAGTAACATTGCCTTGATGATGAAATGCATATTTCGTTGTGTAGTTGGCATGTCTTAATATCAATGCCAGCTGAGGGGGACTTGGATATACCTTATTCTCTCAAGGCAACAGAAGAAACACCTCTTGATCAGGTATGTGGCTGAAATTTGTCAGATTATCTCTTTCTATCCTGTTCAGTAAGATTGGTTTGATTAAGTCAGCTATAAATTAGATAATCTTATTGATTCACAATTTTGTCAGTTTATCATTGATTTTACAAACTCAACCTTTTGGAAGCGTTGGTTGATGATGCATGACGTGCTAATTATTTTCATGATGGAGTACTCATTGATTTGGGGGATACGTTTGGATCTTCTCGACTAAGCCCTGGAGTCTGCTTTTTACCATCTGCATAAAGATGGGAAATAAGTGACTTTCTGTAGTGTGCTCCAATCGTTGGTGTTCTATGCAGTAAAATGATAGCCCACGCCTTACAAAGAATTTTCAGAAACCAAATTGTTACAATTTTCCAAAATTAACACGTTTTATACCCTTTACATAATACACTTCTAGATATTAATAAATTAAAATGCATTTTACAATATTGATTATTGATCCCAGTATAAAGGCATTGCAACGTGGTACAATCCTGTCTATTGTATTTATCGTTTAATGATTGAGGACAATAAATCTAATTATTGTGTTTATATTCTGATGCTTATGAAAATAGATTCCATCTTGATTGTGCAGGAACTGGAAGTTGAAGGAGAGTTGCCGGAGAAGGTTTCTTGTTATCAGGGAGTCTTTTATAATTATTTCAGCATAGGTATGAATTTGATTTTTTTTCCCCTTTCATTTTTGTTATGCTTATCATGCTGGTTGAAAATGTTGTCGTTTGATGTTAATTCAGGAATGGATGCCCAAGTTGCGTATGGTTTCCACCATTTACGCAATGAAAAACCTTATCTGGCTCAGGGTCCTATTTCAAACAAGGTGCAAATGCTTCTTCCCGTTCCCAAGATACTCTAGCTACTTGGTATTAATTGTAGAATCAGGATGCTTTAACTTCTTGGATTCACAATTTTGGGATTCTAAAGAGTGGAATATGTGAACTCTAATTCCACACCATTGAAATCCTTTAAACGGGGTTGTGTGAGTGCAACTTTTGTCACAGATTAATTTGAGTTGGGGAAGTTTTCCTCAATTCTTGATATTTACTTCTATTTCTGTGATTTTATTTATATGCCATGCCCCGTCCCAATGATGCTTAATGCAAGTATCTATCTGAGTTCTACACATACTGTTTCCACTCTCATTGGCCATATAAAATTAAAGTGCAAATAACATTTTTACTGCAGTTAATTTATTCGGGATATAGTTGCACGCAAGGCTGGTTCTGCACACCATGTACCAGTGATCCTGGATTACGGTCAGAATTCTCTCTCGCACAGTTTTTTCTCACAATTTTTAAATTTTTTTTTTTTTTTTATTTTGCTCATTTATTTTGGGCTTCTTGGTATTCTTACATATAGTTTTTAAGGAAAATAGGAATTGACTTTCTTATCGAGTAGCATGACAAATGTGAATCTTTACCTGTGCACTTCACCATGTACCGTAAATGTTTGACTTTACAAATGCTGTGTCTTACGTATGGCATTTCAGGCGCTACTAACAGTTGAAGACATGCTTTTGTAATATTAACTGATATACATTTCGATATTATAAATGTGCAGGGGACTGAATAACATCTTAAGAATATACATCAAGAAGGTGAATTGTTCAGGATGGGAGCAAATCCCAGTCCCATCAAGGTTGATTTCATTTTCTAGAATAGTACTTAATCCCAATTTTATTTTATGCTTGCCACATATGATGTATTACCATGATCTGAATTTCTCTTAGAATCACACGTATTTTTTTATCAGGTTGATCTTTTCATGACTTGTTACATTTTTTTTTAAAATGACATGGATTTTAACCTTTCAGTGTGAGGGCTATAGTTGCTCTAAATCTTCCTAGCTATGGAAGTGGAAGAAATCCATGGGGCCATCTCAAGCCAGAGTATTTAGAGAAGGTATCTATATTGTTTATACCACATACATTTAGTCTCGATGACGTAATAGTGATCCAATTTTCTAACTTTTTCATTTGCCACTTTATGTTGAGACGAAGTGTTTAGCCCTTTCTGTACTCAACATAAATCACGTTTTGGATTTTTAATGGTGCAACGTTTGAGGAAATACCTTTTATACTTGATCACCACAATTTGAGCTCTGCCATGTGGATATTGTCTCCATTCTACTTGCTGAGATAATTTCTTTTACCCTGAGACAATATCATTTGTAGTTATGCTGTCTAAATTTAGTTCTAGTTCCAAAAAATCCAAAACGATAATTAACTATGGGTACTCATATTCTTTCAACCTCAGCCTTTACTGGTATTTTGTTGGTGTTCCTTGGACTCTCAATACCATGAGTAAATCTATAAATATATATATCCAATGCATGAAAAAACCAGTGAAGTTGCTACTTAGCTCTTTCACATGACGTCATATCCAGCCAGTATAGTAACATACATGCATAAACTTCCCCCATCCTGATTAGCTCCACATTTTTTCCTCAAGTAACGTGGAAGATATGAAATTTTGACATATAGCTATGCATCTTCTTATCTGAAAATTAATTTGTTTGAAATTTGACGATATTGTTTGGTGGTTAATTCATTACAATTGATTCTATAGATTATCTACAGAGAATTGTATGAGATTATAAGCTGACGAAACCTTCTCCTTTTATTTCTAGAGAGGATTTGTTGATGCCCATGCCGATGATGGTTTCTTAGAAATTTTTGGTCTGAAACAAGGGTGGCATGCTTCAATGGTTATGAGTGAGCTTATCTCCGCCAAACACATAGCCCAGGTATTCTAGTTACAAGAGGAAGTAACTTGTACTTACTGTAAAGCTTAGCTAAACATGCAGTTTTCAACACATGAACAAGTATATAAAGAAGGCAAGTACTTCTTATCGTATTTGTTAAGGTCATCGATGTCAATGTGGTCAATTTTGCTTGCCGAAGTTGGGTTGACGATATGATGATCTTGGCTTTCAACAAACAGAAAATTTATTCTAGTGCAATTTTCCAGGCTTTGGCAATTAGGTTTGAGCTGAGAGGAGGATCATGGAAGAAGGCATATATGCAGATGGATGGTGAACCGTGGAAACAACCAATGGACAAGGAGTTTTCGACCTTCGTAGAACTTAAACGGGTACCATTTCGCTCGCTTATGGTCAAAGGACAGTAATTACAACAGCATTTTGTACCATCTTTTACCAATTTGTGGGAATTGGAACATTAGTGCACAATCCTTTTGTTTTTCTTTGTATGTAATACCTTGTTTAGGAGGAATTTGTAGTGAACTCCAACTGTGGAACTAAATTATGAAATCTTGAAGAAAACATTGTAAGAAAAACAAGAATAGTATGTGTATATGTTATAAGTAACTACTTTAACCAATAATTTCGATCTTTACATTGCTTGCGTTATACGGAATCACTTTAAATTGAGATAAGAATGATTGACAAGATTCCTAAGCACCAAATAGTTAAAAGCCAAATGTAAAGTTTTCATCATGCTAGGATTATGTGATAATCCTTGTGTATAAGCATAGCATGGCCACTTTCCCTTTCCCTTTCCCTTTCATTATTATTATTATTATTTTGTGTTGTAAGTACATTCAAATATTATCATATTTGATTGTTCCATGTGGGATCACTTATTTGCTAGCACTAGTAAATGCAAAATGATTTCCTACAATGGTTTATATTAACGCGTTTCACGAAGAGAATTTGATTTAGCGGCTTTTTAAAAAGATTTAGACGCGGAAAGTAAAATTCAAGTTAGTTAGCTTGAATCTTCAACTTCTTCTTTAATTTTGATTGGTATTCTAAAAAATCTCTAGTGGGAACTTTTTCAATTGTATTATATTATGATTATCAACCATGTAGAAGTTACGAATTTAAGATAATCGAGCAATTTCAGAGATGTAGGCAAAACTTCTATTTCAAGAATAACAAAAAAAAAAATATTAGGATGACGAGTATTTATGTTTGGTGGGGAATTTATGATTTATTGAGTTTTAGTCGATATTGACTACCTTTAATATCCCGATAATATAATAATAATTATTGTTAGTTACTTGTAATGATATATATATATATATTAATGTATATTAAGTTTTAAGTGTTGTTGCAATTTTTTGGAGAAAAAAAATTGGTTTTTACGGGATCCTTTGCAATTAAATAAGTTTTCTTGAAAAGAATGAATGAAACCATCATCTCATCAATTCATGGTTAGAGATTATTCAAGAAAAAAATGTTATTAGCGACACTTAATAGCTCAATTTACTTATTTCTTATTTTGTGTGAGACCACCCTTCAAATATTTTTAACTACACATTTGTACCGACCCACGGCTTACAACTTACAAGCCATCGGCTCATTTACCAAACATTAAACTCTGTTTGCTCTTTAGTTTTAAACATTTTTTACTATTACCAAACATTGAAAAATGTAACAATTAGAGGTAAAAAAATAAAATAGTGGCAGTAAAATATTGTTTTCGGTCACACATTCTTCAATAAAATAATTTTTTTCATCACATCAATAACTTTTCTTTCTTTTTCAACCGCATATTCACCATCACATCAAACAAAAAAATGCATTCTTGAACTCAAAATGTGCACCAAACAGTGGCTTATTCCTATACAGTTAAATTTACATCATAAATCAAATCAATGGAGTATTTTAAATTATCTGTTCCATTAGTCTTCATTAGTAGTTGGATTCCTAAAAATAAAATTTTAATCACCCTTAATACGAGAGGATTAGAAGTTTCTTTACGTTGTCTAATCAACGATAAATGTATTTATTTATAAAATGTCCATATTTTAAACCTTAAAATATTATTTGTATGCGAAAAGGAGTGTAAAAGACAAGATTTAAATAAATATGACGTCTCTTTAATAATTTCAATATTAGGGAAGGAGGTCGAAAAAGTTACAAAGAATCACTAATCGATATTAATCAATTTGAAAGAAAATATAAGTATTCTTATAAGCGTGATGGTGCTTGTAATACTTGTCGTTTCAGTGATAACATTTCTATTTATTTATAAATTAAATCATTCATAAATTCTTCTCTCTCTGTTGGAACCCACAAGTCAACGGAAATTGACTGCAAAATTCAGTGTTAATACTTGATTCGTCATAATTTTTTAAATTATCTTTCTGATTAGTCTAAATTAGTAGTTGGATTCCCAATGGTAATCATTTAATCATTCTTATCAGGTGAGAATTAGAAGGTTCTAATCAAGAACAAAGGGTATTAGCTAGTAAAATGAAAAACTAAGGTGATGTTCTCTTCGTGTTTCTGTTTTCTGTTTTGTGTTTTGAATTCATTTTGAATTTTGTGTTTTGAGTATCCATTTTGAGATTGTTGAAAATGCGTTCTTTTTGTCATTTTGAAAAATTGTTTTCCAAAATTAAAAACACCAAAACACGTTCTCCCATCCCATCTCTCTCTCTCCCCTCCCCTCTTTCTCTCCTATATCTTCCCACCGTCGGGCTCCATTTCGCCGGCCAGAAAGGAGTGGAGGTGCGATGCTTCTTCTTCTTCTTCTTCTTCCTTTTTTGGTGGAGATTTTGGGTCGCAATTTCAGTGGTGATGGTGGTGGTTGTGGGTGCGATTTGCTGCGATTCGGTGGTCGACGGTGACGGTGGCTGTGGCAGTGGTCTCTTAGCCGGTTGCGACGCTTCTGTCCTTCTTCTTTCTTTTTCGATCGCGATTTTTGTGATGATTTTGGGTAGCGATTTCAACCCAGCTAAGCAGTAGATTTTGGTGATTTTGGTTGTGGTGGTGGTTGTTGTGTGTGCGATCAACTGTGATGTGGTGGTGGCTATGGGTGCGATCTGCTACGATTTGGTTGTTGGCGGCAGTGGTTGGTGCAGACGGTGGTGGTGGCTGTGGGTGAGATTTGGTGGTTGGAGGTGGTCGACGGTGATGTTAGTGGTTGGTGCAGGCGGTGGTGGTGGCTGTGGGCGAAATTTGGTGGTTGGAGGTGGTCGGCGGTGATGGCAGTGGTTGGTGCAGGCGGTGGTGGTGGCTGTGGGTGAGATTTGGTGGTTGGAGGTGGTCGACAGTGATGGCAGTGGTTGGTGCAGGCGGTGGTGGTGGCTGTGGGTGAGATTTGGTGGTTGGAGGTGGTCGGCGGTGATGGCAGTGGTTGGTGCAGGCGGTGAAGGTTGGCGGTTGGGTTGAAAACAACGAAAATGCGTTTTGGAAATTTTGACCAAGTTATAACTGAAAACACTCAAAACGACATTTTTGTCGTTTTGTGTTTTCTTTATAAATTTTAAAGTCGTTTTCAAAAACGCGTTTTCGAAAATAGGAAAGAGAACGCGTTTTCACTATTTTGAAAAATCGAAAACAGAAAACGGCTTAAAAACAGCAAAGAGAACAGGCCCTAATCCTTCGTACATGTAAACATTTTCGTTACTTTGTAAACTCGATAAGTAGTGTCGTCAAAATCATATTAAAATTACAAATTCAACTTAAAAAATCGTAAAGTTGTCCAGTTACAACCGTTCAATTTCAGAACTATCAATTCTTGATTAAAATTGGTTGATTTTCATGTGAATCGATAAAGTTACAACTTGAACCAATCGATTTTAAATTCACTTATTAGAAAAAGTAGTTGTCACGTTAAAGATGACTTCATTTGTCATTATCTTTAAAAATCTTAAACAGTAATTTGTAATATATATCGATTGTACTTTACTGTTTAATCAATTCATTAGTGGGATTTGGTTTTGATTAGTGTGTCAAATCAACTGCAGTTAGATAATCATTAAGATGAAATAATGATTATATATTTTATTTTTTCTCAAAGTGGACGTATCATTAGGGGATGGATGGAATAAAGTTGTCCTTGCCGTGTACGTTCGATTGGCTCTAGTTGATGCTGACGATGTAACGTGGTAGACAATGCAAGAAAAAAACGCTTACTAAAAAAGTTCAAATTCTATTTATTATTCTCTATTTAATACTATATATATACAACTGAGCTGCAGTGTCAGGGAGAGTGTCACACCCTCCCGGACAGAACACACACATCGGGGGGAGGGAAGCATTTTCTTTCATTTTTTATTTCATGCGAATCTCACGTCGATTCCACACTCATGTGAGGTTAGGTCAATCAGGTGAGCAAACCAATTCGGGCAAACTAGCTTAATTCATATATATGTGTGTGTGTGTGTGTGTATTTGAATCGAGGGTTAAAGACGACGAATGTGTTATGTGTTGAACCACATCGTTCGAAAATCTTAATTATTATTAAAAAAAGAGAAACTGATTCTATGATGTGCTTCGGTGCTTGAAAACAAGATTCAAATGAACATACGTGACAAATGCCGAGCAAAACATTTGAATCTATTTATAGAAATGTTCAGTTCTTTGACTTTCTAATCTCATTTATACGTAAAAAAAAAATCGTGTAAAAAATAATATTTAAATAAAGGAGGTGTATTTTTATATATTGCAAATAAAAATTGTTCTAAAACGGATATGTTTGAAGTTAATTTGTCTTACACAAATAATTGAAGAAAAAAGACAGAAAAAAAAAAGATGAAAAGGAAAAAAGAGAGGCCTTCACTTTCAAATACCATCAGAAATTGAAATTAAAGTATGCTCCAATAATTATCAAAGAGGCAAGAAACTATAAGAAAAGGAAGTAAAAATTAATGAATTTTTAGTAAAGTGAGCAAATTGACATAAAAAACAAATGATAAAATAAATTAAAATTCCACAACTAACACTAAACTTCACTGATTTTAATTCGACATTAAATCCATCAATAAATAAATAAATAAGACATGCCTGAAATTTACGTAAATTTTAACGTTATATTATTTTCAGTGAAGTTTTATGTGATGTATGTCATAATCGTAGTTTTTTCGTTGTCTCGATCTACTTCTCATTCTATTACATTCTAATTATGTCAATTTCACGAGTGAGAAGTTGCGGGACGACATGAATTTACTAGAAAAATTAATTTTATATTATTTTTGGTGGAGTATAAAGAGTTAAAGACTAAGAAGACAAAATCACAAAAGGCCAAGAAGGTAAAAAAGGAGCAAAAAGAAAGGCTAAAAAAGGACAAAAGAAAAAGAAAGAAACTTGAAGTAGGAAAATGATGTGTATATATATCAGCTTCGATCCGAAGAAACAATAAATGAAAAAATAAACAAAAGTCTAAGGTCGAAGTATCATCACGAGTTAGAGTTAAATGATCATCTCCTTCATAGCAAAAATGTATAATGGCTAAAACATATGAAAATGGGTGCTCACTTGTTAGATTTTAATAGGAGTAAATGAAATCGTATATTTAATAACTTGAACTTAATAATAAAGGGTGATAAAATTGGACACGATTTGAGATAGGTTATGATCCATGTTGGCTTTTCTAGAAAAATTAACAACGTTAGACTTGACTCTTTAAACTTGCATTTTGTACAAATGGATTAACTAGAAGAGTATGAGTCTGTTCTCTTTACCATTTTCAAACTCTTTTCTAATTTCGATTTTTCAAAATAATGAAAATGTGTTTTTGAAAATAAGTTAAAAATTTACAAAGAAAATTCATAATGACAAATTTGTCGTTTGGGTGTTTTCAGTTATAATCAAATCAAAATTTTCAAAACACGTTTTTGATGTTTTCAAAATGTCAAAAAGAACACATTTTCAACAATTTCCAAATGAACGCTCAAAATACAAAATCAAAAGTGAATTCAAAACTCAAAACACAAATATAATAGCCCCTAAATTTTCAAAGAACGTGTTTTACATTTCTTGCATAAAATTGAACAGTCGAAACATCAAATTACGAAGTTTCGATTTTTTTTTAAAAGTTAAATTAAAATTCTCAAAATAAATTTACTACTCATCCATTTGTACCATTAATTATGGCAATATGCCAATTCTTAAGTTTCAAACGGACTCGAATGCATGTCAAGTGCTTCCTAACATGAACAAAAAATGTAGGCCCCACTTTTCATGCGATGACGAAATAATTCTCCAAAAAAAACAAAAAATCCACCTGTTCCCATTTCCCTATAAATAACCGGGAAACACCACTTGTACCACCTCAACCCATCTCTCCTTCCTCACTTCACCACCCCTTCTCCACCATCTGCTCTCCATAACCAGTTCTTTAAAAGCCATCGTAAAATAGAAATTCTCCGAAAACTCTAGGGAACGTTTTGACAGAACCATCGTACATATATCCATAAGACTTGAAAATGGGTATGGTGGAGGCCCCAACAGCATCATATTCATCACTTGCACAGCGCTCATCGTGGCATTCTCCGGTGCCCTACCTCTTCGGAGGATTGGCTGCCATGTTAGGGCTCATTGCTTTTGCTCTCTTGATTCTGGCCTGCTCGTATTGGAAACTTTCCGGCTACCTCGAGAACCAGGGCGAAACCGAAAGGGATCTTGAGGCCGGAGAGGTTAATGGCGGCGGCGATATTGGCTCAGCAGATGGCAGCCTAAAGGCGGCGCCACCAGTTCTTGAAGATAAGTATCTAGTGATCATGGCTGGCCAAGAGAAGCCAACTTTCTTGGCCACTCCTATGTCCAGTAGAGCATCATCTTTTGGCAGTAAAAGTACTTTCAGTTCTAGTAGTAAATCTACAGAGGCATAAGAGGAAGATGATGAAGCAGCAGAAAAATGGTGGGAATGTATAAATGGGGAACATGGAGGACTTTGAGGCAGCAGATCAGGTCCGTTGAGGAACATTTTGTGGGTTTTTTTTTATTTTATTTAGATTTGAATAGGTATTTCGAAAATGTAAATAGTTCTTGAAGAAATTAAGAATGTTGGTAGAAAATTCCTTTTCTTTGTTCATCAACTGTTGTTTTGCCTTCTGGTGTTCTTCTCTTCTGACCCAATTATGTGTACACATCAAGAGGGAATTATGAACCCTAATTTTACCATTTAAGCCTGATTAACCACACTGTAAAACATTATTTATACATAGAATGAATCTTATCATTAAAAATTCCATTCACAACATCAGACATAAAACTAAAAAATAAAATAAAAAAGACGAGTGAAAAAAAGTTGTTCATTCCGTATTGAATTTTTCGCATTAATGATTTCGTTATTGGTGATTTACAATAGAAGAATAAAGTACCCCGAGTTCTTTTAGTTTAACAATTTAAGAAATGTTTGATTAGATAACTACCAATACCTCCATCGAACTCTCTTTAATCATTCAATCATGAACAAGAACGGATTCAGGATCGAACTATAAGTCGGGCTAATACGTTAAAAAAAATGAAGTAGACTGGGGACGGCCCGGCCCAGCCCAGTCGCCCCTACATCCAGTCCCTGACTATGTCAAACTATATGTGTTGAAACCGTTTAAATTTTTAGATAAAATAATTCATTATAGTATCAAAACATATTTTAGTTTTTAGAAGTCTCCCTATTATTACTCATTTATAAATATTGTCCGAATGTCAAACTTTTATTAAAATAAATAAATCAAATGTGTACTAGATGAGGTAAAATAAACAAGGAGACACTTGGAAGAACGAAAATATATGTTGGTTTGATTTGGGAAGATAAATGTTGTAACATCATCAAGTGGTAGCTAGTGTGGTACACGACACCATGCATTGTCTCGTTGAATGGGTGCATCATTATGGATTTTGCACGTTAAATCATTGTGCCAAGGTTATATGCAACTAGACATATGGTGGAGTAATTAATTTTAAATTGACTAAACTTCATAATTGCAATTTATAACATTACTGGGAATCTTTTACAATTTCATAATGATTTGGTGACTTCTTAGAATATCTACTTCATAAAAGGATATTCCACATTTAATTCTTTGCGAACAATTATGATTAATGATGTAAAACAAACGGTGTTGAATTGATAGGTCTTCTCATTGGCCTGCATTTAAGATTTGTGTTGGGCTTGACGCTGTTCAAGTGTAAGATGTGTCGAGTTCGGTCAAGTATATAGAAAATTTCATGATCTTGTATTAGTCACTGGCTCAAAAGTTTTTGGCCATCCAAGTGGCTATGTGGGTTGGGAGTATAGGTCGTCACAAAACGTCCCTATACACAACGTGTCAAACACCACGTTGGTTGAGTATTTTATACCTCAAACTATTAGTAATCGATCGTTGATTTAGTGACAAATTTAGGACTATCAATTTCCTTATTATTTGATAAGAATAGAATATTAGTTAGATTGTATTGGCAATTTTGCACTTCTAGCTTGCCTTTTTGTGAGTGATTGTTAATTTCTTGATGATAATTCTCATAATTCTTGTTTACTTATTTTTGGAATGTCAATTTTAGGCAACTGTAGAGGGAGACATCTCCTTTACATGGAGTCAAAAGGATTTAAGCTTGTGGTCTTATTTCTTTGAAAAAGTGAAGTCTTCATCACCTTTTGCTAGTCGATTTGCTTAAAATATGAATAACTCGAAGCATGTCGAGATTGATGGCCATTTATAGCAACATCCATTAGAGTCATTATCTAACATTGTCACAATAATGCAAACTCTGACAATCACAACTGAATTTGTCCAATGTTGATTTTGACTATTCAAATGGGAACATTTTAGGGTTTACATTTTAATTCTTCAATTTCCATCTTCTGAACAGAATTTCTTTGGGCCTTTTGTTATTTGTTGGGCCTCTGGCTTTCAAATGCTATAGGTTTTTCTTCAAAATTGGGCTTGTAGTTTACTGTTGTTAGAATATCTCTTTACTATGAACATTGGGTTCACCACAACTATTCAATAATATTAAGAAGGGAACAATATACAAATAAGGTGTTTACTTTCACCCATTTCAAAAATTCAAAAACAAGTTTGAAAATTCACAAATCAGGTTTTCTAAAATTTTAATTAATAATTAATAAATTATTAAATCAATTTATTATTAAATATTTAATTCTAATATAATATAATTATCCCACCCCACCTCCACCACCCCCAACCGACTTTCCGATCACCACTCTTCNTATTAAATATTTAATTCTAATATAATATAATTATCCCACCCCACCCCACCCCACATCCACCACCACAACCGACTTTTCGATCACCACTTTTTCTGGCGAATGTTTCGGCAACTGTTCCGGCGAGTATTCCGGCGACTGCTCCGATTCCGACGAGTATTCCGATAACCGTTCCACCACTTTTTAGGTCGCAATTCAAAATTTTCATAGGTCACAATTTGTTCATCGGTCACAATCACAAAATTTAAAAATTACGTTATTTATTTTATGATCACAAACATCAATTTATTGGTCACAAATTGATAATTTTCAGGTCACTAATTAATAATTCTTAGGTCACACAACTTGAACTCGTCACAGTTTATCGAATTCATT